GCTGCAGCAGCTAAGAATTAAAGGGAATCCCACACAGAGATGTTAATCCAGGGTCAAGCTTTATTTTGGGATGGAAGTAAGCTTGGTTGCCCTAGTATTTATGTTGGGGATTAGATAGGCAGAATGCAACTGTTTATTCTTCTTGACCTCAGGGCAACTTTCAGGCATATTGTCCTCCTGAATCATTTATTTGAGTTGGTCTTAGGAATTATGAAGATGTCAAAGAATTGTAGAGTTTGAAAAAGACTGTTTAGGCCATTGAGTCCAAACCCCTGCTTAGTGCATGAATTTAAATTAAAAGCATTTTATATATATATCCCTGCATCCAGTGAAAAGGAGCACTCCATCTCCTTAGGTCAGTGTTGTCCAAACTTGGCCACTTTAAGATGAGTGGACTTCAACTCTCAGAATTCCCCAGCCAGCCATGCTGGCTGGGGAATTCTGGGAGTTGAAGTCCACTCATCTTAAAGTGGCCAAGTTTGGACAACACTACCTTAGGTAATTGTTTCCATCTTTGAATGATGATCATGATGTGCCATCAAGTCATTTTTGACTCCTAGTGACCATATAGATAGATTTCCATCTGAATACTCTTGTTAAAGATTGAAAAGGTTTTGATTTTCCATGCTGGGTTAACTTAGTCATTTATCAACCATGGTTTATGGCTTAGTGAAATCTCTGAATCCTGCCATACTGGCTTATCAATGAACTATGGTTAAAGCAAACTATGGATTACTGCAAAGTGCTATCCCAATAGCATTTATTTCTTAATAGATATACATGGGATTATATAGCAACTGAACTTCATACCTGTATATCAGTGCATTTTTTCCTCTTTTTTACTGCCCATTATTGCTGTTTCCACTGAGGGAAATATACAGTATATGTGGCAAGACTATGAAGGCACAACATAAAGCTGTACTGTATCATTTGACAACATTTGTAAGTGTTTCAAATAAGAATCCTGAACAGTTGCAGAAGAATTTGTGACAGGCAATTTGAATTATAATATTGTATAAAGCTTTAATGAAGTGTTATTAATCCCCTAAAGCCATTCACCCATTTGTAATCAGCAGCCATTTTATTCAAATGAAATATGTTTCTTCCTTTTTTGTTGTTAAATGTCCCTGAGCTGCTCTTAAGTTGTATAATAAGTATAGAAAAATAAGGCTGCTTAAAAAAAGTGAGACCAAATAGAAATGAACATTTATTATTTGCATATAAGAGATGTATTATTTACATATATGTTAGCTTTGTATCACACTTTTTCAACAGCAAAGGGAAAAGGTAATACACTCTTATTATTTTTCTCTCAGACAATCCTCTTGTAGCATAGGATGAGATATGATGAATTGTCCAAGATCACCAAATAAATTTAATGATTAATTAGGAATTTGAACATAGGTCTCTCTTGTTAGTAAGCAGCCTACTTGCCAGACTCAGGGAGGACTCTAGAGCATGTGTGCACCTATTCACTTTGTGTTCCAGGAAGACTTGAATTCCAATATAATAATTCACAGGTGTGTGTGAGAACTACTCACAAGAAATCTAAACATTCCTGATAATCTCAGAGTACAGTACTAAGCACATTTACTTAGAGTCAGTCCCTCTACTGGCTCTGTTTAGTGGAAATGATTCTCTATTAAATATGTTTAGGATTGTAGCTTAAGCCTAACCAACAGCAGAATCATTAATTCTAATGAAAAGTCAAAACAGCAGAATCAAATAGATGATAGCCATTGAAAGTTTTTGAATTTTGTGTAATTAGAAATAATTAAGATTCAGAGGAATTGGCAGTTGTAGTTATGATTTCAGTGAATTGTAAACTCTTGAAGTTTTCTAGATACATGGTTCAGGTGTATTTTTATACCTGTGCAGCATAGGCATGTGCTGCTTAGGAGATGAAGAATGTAGCTTAGGACGTGTTGTGTCCTTGGGACTTTTTATGAGCCAAATTTAGTTATTTCCATCATTGTTAAACAACTCAAACTGTGAGGCTTGAGATTCCCTGTACACCAGTTAAAACATATATTAGTGCTACAATATGACCTCAGAGCTAGTCCATGAACAACCATCTGCTCAGATTTCTGCCACTTGTTAAGGTTTTTTAGATGCTGCACACAAGATAAATAGAGAAATTGGAAGGCTTGTTGTCATGTGTTTGAAAATAGGTAATGGAAAATGCAGTAGGCTTGGATGTTGGTGCCCATTTGTAGGGCTAGGAAATCTGGGCTGCAAAAATCTGGAAGACTACTAAATGGTACCAAAAAGATACAGAAATTTCTAACTCCTTGCTAAATGAGATTTAGCCATGATCTGGGTTTTTTGGGGTTTTTTTTGCAAGCCAGATCCAATAGCAGTAGCCCATTGGCTAAGCATAAGACGTCACTTCCATTGATAATGTCAGGAGGCAATTATAAGGATCAGAGCAGCTGAAACAGAGACGTACAATAGAACTGCTAGCTGTGTCATCAATAGAAGTGAGAGGAAATAATGTGTCAGAGTAATTTAGTTTCAGATGTGATTCGTATTAGATTATACCATGGCAAGTCAAACGTCCCTGACTTAATGATTTAGACAACAAAGACAGTTGCAAAATATTCCTAGTATGATGAAAAGTCTAGGAAAGAAGTTGAAATAATAAACAATAACTTACAAGGACTAGGTAACATTGACCCCAACCAGGGTTTCTCTCTATTCATACATCCTCTGTGATTGTATAACCTGGGAGTATGAAGATGACTGGAAATGGGATTGTGGAAAACGCTGTATTTTTGTGATAGTTGAGTGCCTTTTTGTAATTTAAATATTAATTGAAAAAATAAGGCCAGAGGTTAGCTGACACTTGGCTTCCCTCTCTTTCGCCTGTCCATGGCTTTGATCATGCTACATCTTTCTTTGTGCCTCCTTCTCCAGAGACCATCTCAGGGTCATGGCCTGTTTCCTAGTCAAGAGGTATAAACCTACTGGCTTAAATATTTGAGGCCCACAGTTTAGCAGGGGGGCCTTTTTGCTTCATGCTTTCCCCATTTCCCACATAACCCAGAGCAGACTAAACAAAACCAGTGTGAAATCTCATGACTTGATGCTGCTATGGTTATATTTTTTAAGCTGTCATCCATTCATTTGTACTTGTGTTTATTCCCTGGATTTACAGCTTTTTTCAAGCCTTTTTGGGGGGTGAATGTTTGAAACCTTTTGAAAAAGGATTGCAGAAAGCAGTGGCCTATGATTAAAGCCTACTGTTGTTTTTTTCTCGCCATGCTGCTCTTGTGCAGTGGTGTCACACATGGTAGCATTTAGGATCCCCTTCACAGCTGAAGTGTTTCAAACACTAATGAATGGAAGTTTGGTCACATAATGCAGACAAGCTGTACTGCAGGCTTTGCTGAGTGGTGTACTGCAGTGGCCTGGGAAAGGAAGAGAGTTATAAATTGTGTCAGTTAGCCACCCAGACAAAATGAAGCCATGTGGAAAATCAAATCTATTAAAGTATGAAGACTGTTATAAGCTGGTCATTCTTAAAAGGTCTCAGTTTGCTGTACGGGTAAATGTTTACCTATTCACCCTAGATCTTTTTCACATGCTGTCTTACAAGATGATGTGCAGAATTTGATAAAAATCAACTTCTCGCTAACAGCCCCTTTTATCAGCAGTGTTTATTGTCTCCAGTTTACCACCCATATCCTGGAAGGTACTGCACATTAATTGAATAAGGAGTGTAAAAAGAATGGCGCAGTGGAGCAAGGTCAGAAGATGGCCCTACATATTTTAAGACCAAAGGAGAGGGGGACTGGTGCTGAGAATGAAAGAGACAGCAAAACAGATCTCTGTCCGTTTTTGGTCTTGTGTGGTTAACCTAGATTTTAGACATTGCTTCTCAGCACAGTGTTATGCTTACATGTGTTTTAAGCTTCAGACAGAATGTTAGAGTGGTGTTTGGTTAAAAATCACAGAAATAGCTGAACTGGAAGACTATTGTGCTGTCATGTGTGGTGTGATAGGTTGGGATATGGGAGGCCAAAGTTCAAATCCACACTCAGCTCTGAAGCTTGTTGGGTGGCCTTGGGCGGCTTTCCATTTCCCAGCATAACCTGCTTTCCAGGACTCTAAGCTGAGTGGATAAATGAGATAAGCCCAGTAAAGTACTTTGTACATTGAAAAGTCCCGAAGAGGTGATTAATATCAAGAGAACAATACACATTAGATTCACATGCCTTTTCTCTAACCTGGAAACTCAAGTCGTTTACACAGTCATTTTTGCCACCTACATTTCTCCGTGGGCTTGTTCTTAGTCATATTTACATGTTTGGGATCTTAAATGTCTTAAAAAGGAGCAATACAGGAACGGTATTACCTAATGTTTACAATTGCAGCAGTACCTCTGATAGTTGTGGAAATTAATTGTGAGAGATGTCTCTGAGTTCTGGTACTTGTGGGAAACAGCTAAAGACAGCATAAACTAGTTCCTAATGAGCTAAGTTATTAATGACTTTGCAGCCCTTTTAATTTGTATAACATGAGCAAAGGAATTAAGAATCAAATCATAGTTTCCTTTTTTTGTCCAAGAGGAAATCCATTGTTAGCAGTTCCAACCTAGCCAACACCTTAAAATGTAGCCTCAGTGCATACTCCTTGTTAATCCATAATGCAGTTTGTCAATTTTGATGCAGGCTGTTATGTGAATTCAGCCATCGTGGCTTCTTCAAGAAGCCATAGCTAAGACAAACCATGGCTTCCATGTTGTGTGTGAACTCAGTCACAGTTTGAAACTTAAGTACCAGATTCTGAACAAGTCAGGTTATTAGTAATGGATTCCTGGTTTATTTCTCAGACTGCAAAGCAAGAAGAGAAGCTTTTATGTGAGCATAGGTTCTGAGAATATCTCAGTTTATTAAGATAAAATATAGTTGTTTGAACTGGCTCAGTTACTCATTTCAATTCTTAAAGTATTTTTAATAGTTGTATAATTATTTTACTACTCTGATTGCCCATTCTAGGAGCAGCCTGAAGAGACATCCTCACAAGAATCAGCAGAAGATGATTAGAAAACCACACCTTTCTATTTCTACCTCATCAGCAGTTGGATCTTTTGAAGGGAGAAGACACTGCCATGACCACTTGCTTCTGTTTCCACAGTCTTTGGCCTGGGTGGGAGGAGGGAAGGATTCACATAACCTTAAAAAGGACTTATTAATAATTGTTATTGTAATCCCTTCATTGTCCCAGGTTTTGTGAAACTGCTGTAACACAGGGGGACACAGATTAACGATGCAACATATAATTACTGTTTTCTCTTATTTTTCTTTAACCTACTAATAGTTTGAGCTGCTAAGTAAGGGTGAATGGGTCAGTAAATCTCGGAAGCAGGTTTCAAGTCGTTCACTGCACTGCATATGTATGACTATTGTAAAATATTAATTCTAATGGGCATTTAAATAGGAAGGATTGGTGTTTGACACTAGTTCTTACAACATCTCTGACAACCCACTCCCTAGCTTAGTGAACTCCCTCTTTAGAACACCAAAGATAAGGATTTAGATGCTAGGATTGTGTGTGCTTCAGAATGATTCAGAAGGCCTTCACATCTCAAGCAAGCACAACACCTCTCTGCTGTCCATTAAAGCAGCGTGAAAGAAAAGTGCAGCTGCTTTAATGACTACCAGACTAGTGTTGTGCTTGTCTCACATTAATTTCAGTGAGTCAGCTCCTTAAAGCAGCTGCATAATTTCTTAGGCTGGAGTAGAAGTCTAAAAAAATACAGGTAGCTTTAGTGAACAGCAAAGAATTGTATTCTTGGAAAGTCTGAAGCGCTTCTTTGAAATAATTTTTGAAGCATGCACAGTCCTGTTAGATATTATTTTGATAGCCTTGGACTAGATTTGTGCTTGTTTGTTTGTTTCTCATGTTACTGTTTTTTCAAGACACATCAAAGGCTAATTTCTTTCAATTAATTCAGCTGATAATCAGGAAGCAAAAGTCACAAGAAAAAAAGGTACTTTGCAACAAAAGGGAAAAATGACAAAGATACTTTGTATATTAGTGATACACATATATCTGCTGAAGTAATACCAAATGGAACTCAACAGCACCCTCTCTGGAAACATGTTCATGCACCCTGAGGTAGAATATGCTTTCTAGAGATTATCATGTTGTTTAGAAATGACTTACATCAGATGTCTTTCAAGACTGATATTTAGCAACTAAAATTTGGATTTTAGTGAATTTAAAACAATACCTCAGAATGATTTTAAATCATATCATACTGGAACCAAGGGAAATAATTTAGATACTTAGTTTGATTTATTCCTGTGCTGCCAGAGGAATGGCTTTATCATCTTCACTAATACATCTCCATTCAAGAGCCAATACTATGTACCTCAAGTGGGCTTATTACTTTTAAGCAATATACATTGACATAGGATGTTTATCTGGACAGGTTGGTCCAGTTATATATCCCCATTTTTTATTTTATTTTTTTACTGAAAAGCAGCACTTTTAACAACAACTGCAATACTACCCCACTTTTCAGTACTACCTCTGTTATTTACATTGAACTCAACAGTCACATAAACACTTGCTGCTATGATCATACAATGCAAGAAGTTAGTATGGAATAAGTAATCATAAATTCTGAATCCCCCCATCCTTTTTTTTTACTTTGTCACTTCATTGCAATTAAGAACACAATACTTTTAATGTTTTCCAGCATTACAATGTTTTTTTTCTTTTAAAAATTATACTATGCCTTTTCTCTGCTAAATTTCTATATAATGTACCATTAACTTGAATATATTTTTGTACCGAATTGCTCATAAGGTTTGTAATGATAATTTTCTTCATTGACACTACATGACATAAAAATAATTAACTGCAGTGTTTAAATATTACTGTCCAAGTTTGTACCTCAATTGAATTTTTTAAAAGAAATGGACTAGTTGATTGACAAGACCTACCTCCAGACTATTAATGGAATGAACTTGCTGTTTCTTTCAACATTTGTTTTTGAGAAGACTGAAACATTTAGGACTGCAAAAAAATAAAACAAAAACAAGCAAGAAAAACCCCTAATTAAAACTATTTTTGTAAAAGAGCTTTGTGGGAAATGAACACATATTAATTTCTTTCATATTAAAACCACCCCTCAAAGAAACTTGAATCTTTGTAGGTTGGAGGCAACAAGCTCAGCTTTTTGCATAATGCAATCACAAATAAGTGTGTGTTTTTTTAAAAAAAAAAGACTAGTAGATTATATGAGAATACTTGTCAAGTGTTTTCATGTTTTTTTTCACTAATGTGATTTTTTTTTTGTAATATGTGTCAACCAGATTTATTTTAAATGCTTCTTATGTAGAGATTAATACTTTTTGACTTCTTTCCTTTCTCCCTTTCTTATTTCCTCTCTCTCTCTGTCTCACCCTCAGTGAATATACCTGTTGGTAAACATTGTTTTATTACTTGGGCCAGGGGTAGATTCTCAGGAAGACATTCTTCAGTATGACTTTAATGTTAGCCAAATGCAACTAAGGAGAGCTACTTACTGGCTGCTTCACAAGACTGACTGTTAAGAACAAGCACCTGCTCAAGTAACATGAGTACGTTGTGTTAGGGATCAATAAAAAGAGCTTACAAGAGAAAGCCATTTTAGGCATCCTAATGTTACTTAACTTGTAAATAATTATACAATAGCTACATATGGGCCTTAATCATGTCCATTCAAGCCATGGCCTGGAAGACAAACCACAATGGGAGTGCACAGATTTCTCCTTCCTCCTTCCGGGTACAGCCCCCCCAAAAGTCCCTTAGAATAATCATGAGACATAAGGGTTATTATTGAAAAAAAGATGTTAGTAACTATTGAGGACCACTTCATCAAGACTCCAAAAATGTCTTGCTTCTTTAGACTATGAGTTTTAATATGCATAGGTCACACACCCAAACTCCATGACTCCAGTATGTACATAAGCTCCATCCAGGAGAGGGGATGTGTCATTTTCAATCTTAAGGAGTGGTATGTATACAATAGTAAATCCCTATTGTGCACATAGGAATATACCATGAATTACTAAAAGAAATCAAGTAAACTTTGCCTGTATGGAGCTCTATGTGAGCATCAGTATCCTTATACTGGAGTTGCTGGATCAGCTTAACAGTGTGAGATGAACTAAATGTTACTGACAAATGGGGGCAAGCATCAAACTCCAAAGGGCTTACATCTTTGATCAAATTAAATCTTACATTTTCTGTATATTGTAGAACAATCAAAACACATTACTACCTCTCAGGGTCTTCTATACCTCATTTTTCAGACTGAAAATAAACTTGTGGCCACTGAAACAGAAGGAACATCATAAAATTTTTATATATATAGTTTATTTTTATGGGAGATAAATTTTATAGGACTGTTCTTTGCTGTCATTGGTCACTCCTAAATAAGACTGGACATTATTTTTTCTGCCATTTCTGCACAATTGATACGCTTGCAAAAACCCTACAGTTTATTTTTTTCTATTTTCCTTGACTGTTTTCTAGCTCTTTGCTTTGTTATTCATATAGAGTTGCTGTCTATGATTTTGAATTGCTTGCTTGTTGTTCCTTTGCTGGATTATCACAGTTTGTTCAGCACAATAAACAATAGTTTATGTAATCTTCATGTTTAATTGCTAGTATTTTGTCACTACTCCATAATTAAGCAATAGAGTTTGGTTTTGGTGAGTCAAGTTAATAAAAAAAACTTAAAATACTGTACACAAGTCACTATATTCAAACAATATATATGATGCATGAAAATCTGCAACATGGTTTTCAAGGACATATAATGATCATTGTGAAATGGACTGTACCCTTCTTTATACTTGCTGCTCTTTCCAAATTATCTGATGTGGTGTTCAAAGTACAGCAAAGAGTGGAAGCCAACAGTACCATGACACTACCATGTACACATCTTGGCATAGAGATGTATTTATCCTCCATTATTATGAAAAGGAAACTGCTCTGTCCCCGTGTATACATTGGAAGTACCCAATCAGACTGGGAAGCAAGACAATTGGCAAATATACCAAAATAACTGTAGCAATTACATGAATTTGTGGATTCTTCAATCTTAATTCTAGAAGAAATGTTAAGTGATGTATATTGGTTTTCAATAGATTTGGGTAACTTGCTGGCAAAATGTTATATTCCATAGCCATAAACTTAGATTTAATTTTTGCTTTTTTATTTTTTGGCTCATGTCCTATTCTTATCAATATAGAGAAAATAACCAATTTGTTATCCTAGTCTTGCCTTTAATTTAGATGAAAGTAAAGGGCATTAATTATGAAATCTCAAATGAGTAAGTGGTATTTTTTTCAGACTGACTTTCAAAACTGGCAGTAAGGATCTCTAACCTTGGTACAGTATATTAAATAATGGATAACACAGTATATTAAATAATGGACAACACAAAGTTAGCTAAAATGATATGATGGTTAGTATATTGGATAGCAACTATAGACGATTAACTTCAAATATTTACTTAGTAAATTACACTCATTGTCTCAGCCTAACACATCTCACAAGACAGATGTAATGATAAAAATGGGGGAGCAGGATATATGCTTTGCGGAATGGTTTCAAGAAAGAGAAGATAAAATAGTTAAGCAGAAACAGCTTTGATATCAGTAATTCAAGGGCCTTCAATAGTAAAGTCAACTGGAAAATGACTATAACTCACATTCTAATAATGTAATTATGTTTTTGTTTTTCAATTGAAATGTATTTTTTATAAAGAGCTACATTCCCAAATAATGGGTTTATTTTTATTTCAACTGAACTTAAAAAAAAAATATTAAAATTCGGGTAGTGGTTAAAAAAAATACAGATATGCAGATGGATCTGCAAATGTTTGAAATGCATAAACCAATACCAGTAGAATAATCAGAAAAATCCTAGAGATTTTAAAAAGCAAGCTAATGCATAAATGCTACCCACATAACTACCTTTAGCATAGATTGTATCAAGGGCAAAAAGCAACATTCACAAGGGAGATCTTTAAGGCATTTTATCTCTGTAAGTGGCAGCACCTGGCTGACCTTGTCTGGACTTCCAAGCTGGACAGAGCTGGGCCTAGCTAATATTTGAATGGGAGGCTGCCAGGACATCACAGCTGTATACTAGACTGGTATGTTGGTGGGGTGGGGTGGAAAGGAACATCCCAGAAAAAGACAGTGGGAAACCACTTCTATATTGTTGCTAAGAAAACTGAATGGATATATTAATGAAATCACCAAAGCTAGTTCAACTGGATGGAAACTTTACTTAAAGCATTTTAATTTGGATAAGGGCAGAAAAACTATTGTAATTGCTTATTCAGAATCAGAATGGATAAAAATGCCATTTTTATCCATTCTGATACCCAGGAAAGTAACAGTAGTTAGAAGGCGAGCACCATAAAAACACATTAGAATTGCATTCATTTTGTTAAAAAATAAGTTAAAGCTCAGTTATAGCACCTCCAAGCAAAACCTGTGAAGTTTCACACACAAGGATAAGTCAAAGTCAAGAAACCATGTAATACTCCATGGCTTCAGCATGCACAAGGTGAAAGGTGTCCAATCCATAACAGCACAGATATACTAGATGATATCAGTGCAGATACAAGTTTCGTACACATTACCAAGTACTTAAGAAACACATCGTAATAGGCATTTAAGGTTTCAAGCTGCTGCATTCCACAACCTATATTGATGTGGAACTTGGTCACTCAATTGGATGAAACTGAATGGATGCAAGGGTACCACCATCACCACTGCAAAATAAAATTGATGGGGGGGAGGGGGGTTTCCCGAATGGTTGATCATATTCATTAGAAATCTACCAATCTTGCATTCTAATTGCCAATGCTGTCATTTAGTCAGAGACCACAGAACTGTCATAACTTTATAATTAGTCATCAGGGAATGACTCTTTGGGGAGAAAAATTAAACTGCACACATCTGTTGATTCTCATAGATTTTATGGTAGACAATACAAGATCAGAATGTTGGGTTAACCAAGCCATTGGTCTGACATCAAATGGTTATACTTTTATTTTTATGTTTAGAAGCCATTGTGTTGACCTCTTGTTACATGTGAAAACCACAGCATCTTCCAAACTGTCAACTAAGTCTGCAGGAAAATAACAATCCATGGATTCATCAGACACTGGGACAGATATTCAGATTTATGCTCCATTCTATAGCAATGCTTGCTAGCTTGTAGGCTTTCTCAAAAAGTAGTCTAGGATTAATATGAAAGTTTCCAGGAGTACCACTCTTTAAATCCCTAACACCCACATGAGATCACCTTCATCAAGTTAGACAGTCTGTTAGAAAATAAAATCTTACTCTTATCACACATTCTCAGTACTAGGCACAGGAAGTCACAACTATTTTGTGTGCCCAGTTTTAACAAAAAAGTGGGACATAATTGTGATTCTTTAAAATATATGTATGTATGTACTGTATTTTTCCGACAATAAGACGCTCCCATGTACAAGACGACCCCCATTTTTCCAACCCAAAATTAAAAAATCAATATTTTAAAGATAGCGCAGAACACATTTTTATTT